TATCTATCTATCTATCTATCTATCTATCTATCTATCTATCATCTATCTATCTATCTATCTATCTATCTATCTATCTATCTATCTATCTATCTATCTATCTTCTCTTCACCTGTCTACCACCTACTTGGCCTCTAAAAGATACACTGAAACTTTACTATAACTATACTAGTTTTCCCTCAGTTCTGGAAGCTATGATCCTGTTGACTTTTGCCTGTTGAATTCTGAGGCAGCTGTAACAGGTACATCTTCTATGCGGCCAGCTGGGTTAGACAGACCTACCCTTTCCTGACCTGAAGAAAGTTGTAATTCTCTTCCTCTTTCTTCCTTCATACCAGTCTTGGGCAACTAATCTTGGGCTTTTCATGCTAATTTTGGCCTAACTAGGAGTTCATGTCACGTTGAGACCGTGTGCCTTCCATGGCCAGAATGGAGTCGTACAGTAACACTGAAGAAACAGACATGCCTTGTTAGAAAACACATTGGCGGTAGAATCAGAGGCTCAGAGCCTTGTGTCACCAGGAATCCTTGCTTGGAGTGCAGGGGAGTCTCTTTCCAAAGGCCAAATGAGGGACAATGTTGTGTCACGACAGAACTGGAACTGCTGAGCACAACCTTAGTCAACTAAGATGACAAATGGAGACTTCTGGATAGCTTGATCTATTTTAAAGTCAAATCTGCTGGGAAAATCATTCTTAATTAAGGATTTCTGGTTAAGTGACAGGTTGTTAGGATTGCTAATTTTAAGGTAAAACAAAAGAGGAAAAGTTCACCCACATGGTCTGCAGGAGAGAAAAAAGTCAACTGCTAAGTCAGGATCTTAGACCAGGAAAAGCTCTGTGTACTGGGGATCCCCAAGACCCCCCCCACCCCAGTTTCTGTGCCTCAGGAAACCCAAGAATACAGAGCAAGTGGAGAAAAGGAAAAGACCTGAGGCTGACATCTCAGGCCTCAGATACAGCTTTCAAGGAGTCATCTAATATAGTCCAGAGCACAAATCCCTGGGTAATGAGCGGTGTGCTGCCGACTAGGAAACCCAGCAGAGACCAAGGAACCAAGAGTGTCATGGCTGCTGTGTGCTGCTCACGCTGCCCAGCAGGAGCAGGATTCCAGGCTCTTGGAAGGAGAGCAAGAATTCAAGCCCAGTCGGGTGCATAGTCCAGGCTCAGAAAACCACTTTTATCATTGCAGAGAGTTTTACTTTATTTTTATTTTTATATTTTAATTAAAATTGAATTTTATCAGCTTCCCCCCTTTCCTCCCTGCTACCTTTCCTGGAACCCCTCTCATGTATGTTCCCACTCTCAAGCTGATAGCCTATTTTTCCTTGAATATTATTGTTACATATCCGGGTATGTCTGTATACACGTGCACAAATATATGTCAATGCAATCGCTGAGTCTGTTTTTGTTGGTGGTGTGTGTATATGGTTTTAAGGCTGATTACTCTGCACTGGACAACTAATAATAAGGAAGCTCATTCCTGTGAGAGGCTAATTCTCCTTCGAGAAGCAGTCATAAGCTGCCTGTAGTTCTATGTCTAGGGGCGGGACCCTGCAAACATTTCACCTTCCACACTAATGTGTCTATTGACATTGCCGTAGCCATGTCCTATACTGTGGGATGGTCTATATGTCAAATTACTCTGATTGGTCAATAAATAAAACACTGATTGGCCAGTGGCCAGGCAGGAAGTATAGGCGGGACTAACAGAGAGGAGAACAGAAAAAACAAAAAGGTGGAGGGAGTCACTGCCAGCTGCTGCCATGACATGTAAAGATGCTGGTAAGCCACGAGCCACGTGGCAAGGTATAGATTTATAGAAATGGATTAATTTAAGCTATAAGAACAGTTAGCAGGAAGCCTGCCACAGCCATACAGTTTGTAAACAACGAAAGTCTCTGTGTTTACTTGGTTGGGTCTGAGCGGCTGTGGGAATGGCGAGTGACAGAGATTTGTCCTGACTGTGGACAAAAACACTCTAGCTACAGTCCTACATATGCAGCTGTTTCTAGGAGAGACTTTAACAGCAGAATTCCTGGTATTCTGGCTCTTAAAATCCTTCTGCGCCCTCTCCTCTTTGCCCCCTTCCCCACTCCAAAGATGAGCTGCTGTTGTAAAAGCTAGAATGGGAAGTTTTGCACAACTTAACCTTTGGAGTTCTCAAGCAGAAACCCAGCCCAACCTTGTCAGTAGGTCTTTGTAGGGATGGCTATTTTAACACTTGAAATGCGCATCTTGTACCACAGCCTAGGAAATCTGTAGGAACTAAAGCATATTGAAATGAGTGTGTAGTTCCTCGGGAAGTTGACGCCAGTCCTCTGTTCTAGACTCCTTTAGGGCAATGAAGACTTGTGACCCAGCTTTATTGACTCTAGTGCTCCATGTGTGTTAGAGCAGTGGTCCTCACCCTCCCCGATGCTGCGACCTTTCAATACAGTTCCTCATGGTGTGGTGAACCCC